GTTTGTCCTGTCTTAGCTGATCTTGTTGAATGTCAGACATCAGTACGAACTTTGACACAAACTCTGTATGGAGAAACCAACAGCGATCAACATTTCAAATACATTATTACCAGGACAATTTTGATAGGCATTCAAATCATCGAAATTGTTAATCAAAATGCAAGATTGTAGGCATAAATTTTTTTCTAGATATCTTTACACATAACTGTCAAACCCCACAAAAATAACAAATACATGTTGTCCTATGTGTATGAGGCCTTTCCACTTTATATGGAAGAAATTGGTTTTAAATCTCCTTCTATATCTGATTTAATATGATTAAATGATTTTATACTTTAAACAAACCAGCAAAATCTTCCTGCTATGTATATAAATTTATTAATTTATGGTGGACACGTTTCACTTACAAAATACAGTGGACTGATAACATTAAAATCTAAAAATATGGAACTTTTATCCTTTTTTTATCTTTTATTGTGAACATTTTATCCTACAGTTGTGGTAAGAATAATACATTATAGATTCGCTTGTTTTTATTTTGGGCTATTTTATCTTGGTAAAATGACTTTTCCAAAGAATATTATCTGAACACCATATCGTGTTAATGTAGCGATAACTTATTCTAGTGGCATGGTAAACAAGAAAGTCATGATAGACGATACGTCATTCCTTAGATATTAGGGTATTCACAATTTTATTAAATTATTAAACCAGGAGGTGGAACAAAAAAATTATAGAATTTTAGATAATTTGGTTATCAGATTGCACCACATAATTTTCAGATTTGGTTGAGCGGATAGTGTACCTGATTTTTGGGTAAAGCAAATTAGTGCGTTGACGGTTCAAGACCACCTATAGCACTCTAGAAGAAATACTTTTTTTTAAACTCAGCAGTCCAGTGTTCTAATTCACCTCAGAGAAGGAGCAGAGGGAAAGTAAACATTAATTATACAAGTCATGACAAGTCAACAATCATAAAAATAAATCCAATAAATCATACTATATTGTGCTTTGGAAAATCAGACTTAAAGTTACCAGTATATACATTTTTGAGGCAGTCCTTCAAGTCAGAATATTAAAATACACACCACTTCATCCCAGTCAAATCTAGGGAACTGCATGCATATAATTATTAAAATCAGCAAGTACTTGAACTGCAGACAAGCTATGAACCATCTCTGGAAACCAGATATACATGTACTATAAACCAAAGTAAACTGCAGAACATTTTTAATGGTCTGAATCTTGAATGCAAAATGGGCAAACGAGTGAGCAAGGGAGTGGGCAACACTTCCAGGTTTGCATAGCTGGAAATAAAGCAAAAACTATCCGATAGATTTCAAAAAGTGGTCAAAAAGGTGATTAAAAAGCAGAAGTGAATGGGTTGGGCATAATTAGTATAGTGTGCTATATATACATGGCAACGATAAATTGGCTTATAATTGCTTCTATTAGAGATGGATTTCTAATAGAGAAAATACGGTATACCTAACAGATAATAAATACCCTTAGACAGCAACATTACTTTTGAGCCCCAACCCACTGCAGTTGAAAATACAAAAAAAGAGAAATGTTAATGTCTATTTATAGAAAGTGATGTAATGTCTGCCCTGGGAATAAAAAAGGTCATACGTTGTTATAATGGGTGTTGGTGTTATAGTGTGTAACTAGGCACACTCACAGAAACACTTATACATATATATGCTTACTTTAACAAAAAAATTAACTATTTTGTACACATGCAACATTTATTATTAAATTCAGATCCACAATCACTGGATTTTGACATATTAAATAGTAAGTATTTGTATGGGTTCTTGAAACAAATTATTTACCTGCAATTCATTATTATCCTCATATAAATTTAAACACTGTATTTATTTACTAGTCTGTTTAGACAAGAGAATTTAATTTACTATTTAGTTGTTCAA